AGGGGAGCTCACAAAATCTACTAATCCTGGGACCCTAGAAGAGTTAATTTGACCTGTGGGAAGCCCAGAACCTCTATCTCCCTCCCTCCCCTGCCCCTCTCTCCCTCTGTGGGGCTTGAGTGTGAGGGGAGTGAGGTGTCTCAGTCAGGGATACGGATAGTGATAGAGATGCAGCCGTGTTAGTCTGGTCTAGCTGAAACAAAAGACAGAACTATGTAGCACTTTAAAGACTAACAAAATGGTTTATTAGGTGATGAGCTTTCGTGGGCCAGACCCACTTTCTCAGATCGGCACAACCATATATACCAAAGTGATACAATCAAAAAAATGAACGCATGTGAAATTGACAAATCAAATTTTAGAGCAGAGTGAGGGTGAGGGGGGAAGGTTAGTGTCTGTGAGGTAATGACATAGGGGTGATAATAGGGGAAGTTTCAGTGAGGTAATGACAGTAGGGGTCATAATTGGGGAAGCTATCTTTGTAATGGGTGAGATAGTCTTTGTTTAAACCCATACATAAAGTGTCAATTTCACATGCGTTCATTTTTTTGATTGTATCGCTTTGGTATATATGGTTGTGCCAATTTTCTTCCACATATTGTTCCAACTCGTGCAGGGCAGTCTGTGAGGGGAGCCGGTTTTTAAACTGGCTCCCCTCACACACCAGCTCCTACCTGGTTCCCCACCTGGCTGCCTCTGATACAGTGAGGGTGGGGGGGTTGGTTTTTGGTTTTTTGCATCTAACTTTTGTGTGGCCCCCAACTGAATTTTATATGGGTCAGTGACCTTGACCCTTGACCCAAAAAAGGTTCCTTATCCCTGCCATAAATAAAGACAATGTTGAAACCTGTTGTTTTGAACATAAATTAATATTTTACTTTATTTAAAATGAAGTTTGGTAAACTAACATGATAAAGTTAAAGTGTCTAATCTGTTTAATGATTTTGGTTAATAATATTTTCTTTCTTGCCAATTATATATGTCCCTAATATTATAGCTACATATTTACATTTGTATGCTCTGAAAGCCTAATATTAATTATTTAGTATTTAGACATAAGTCAAGGCATATTGTCATCATGGGTGGCTGGCTGGTGGGCCATGGAAAGGTTTGCATTGAGCAGTGTGGGCCGCAGGCCATAAAGTTTGAGAACCGCTGATCTATAGGTTATATTGTCCCACTGGTTCCTGAGTGCACTTTACAGGAAGAAAAATGCTGGGTGCCATTTAAGATCTGAGAATACTTTGTCCTCCCATTGTCAATTGGAGGTTATGATGCCAATGGAGTTGGTGTTTTGGTTTCTGATTTGTTCCTATTGGTGGTACTTGCATGGTTGCTCTAAAAGAGCCACATGAGCATGTAGTTGTCATGATATGAAGGATAGGGAGGGTACTAGCTTTTCTACTGTTGTCCAGAGATGGCAGCCTGGTAGATTTCATATCAGGCAGTATTTATATCTGTTTTATTAAATATGACTCCTTCTGGATGTCCCCCCCCCCCGTCCTCTGGAGTGCTGTAGTAGGATGAGAGGAAGGGTAGTCCCTACTGCCTCTCCTAATTAACAGTATTTGCTATTCTTCCCACCCTCAGGATTCCAGGTTGAAATGAAAGTGGGCTTTTCAGTTATGTCCACCAGCCTTGATTCTGAATGCCGCTTCCTAAAGAATAGCTCCAATGCCTGTCTCTGATGCTACTCCTACCTTTCCCAAGTAGCTTCAGAGTGAAATTCACCGGATTCTTCCTTTCATTGCCAATTAGAGCATTCTCACCTGTAGCAGCATGCTGAATTACTCCAGCTGTGTGTTTGCAGGCCGGGGAAGTTAGTGTTGCACCTGTTTACATTCCAGTTGCATATGGAAGGTTACTTTTGCAACACTATTGGCTAACACCTTATTGGAAGTGAAAACTCTGTAGGAGTTGATGGGTAATGTTTGTGCTTGGTGCTAACAACATCTTATGTATTGGTAATGATTAGGCAAGTGGGTTTATGATACCCTGAGTCACACAACAATTCTAAACCTGAATGTAAAATCAAGCAGTGGGACTTCCGTGAAAGGACATTATGGTTCATTGTAATAGACTGGCCCCTTACGTGACATAAGTTAGTTCAAGGGTGGGCAAATTGCGGCCTGCATGCTGGAGCCAGTCTGCAGAGTTAGTCCCTAGCAGACCCCCACCTCTATATTTACCTGCACCTCTGCAGATATCGGGTGATCACGGCTCTCGTTTGGCTGCGGGTCACTGTTTGTGGCTAATTGGAGTGTCAGAAAGTGGGGGCAGGGTTATACAGTGGCTGGCCAGGGACTAACCCTGATGGGCTGCTGCTAACCCATATGGGGTAGGCAGTTGCCGGAGGGACATCTAGCCCTGGCTGGTGGCCCAGTTCAGAGGCCGGGGGAACCCCCACTCCAGTCCTCCTCACCACGGGCCTCGCCACCAGCCCCTCCCCCCTGCGCCGCTGGCCCAAATTGAAACTCCCAACAGCCTGCTACATGGCGGCTGCCAGGAACGTTTCCAGCCCCGGCCCCACCTCAGGGGCTGGGGTGCCTCCCAACTTGGTTCAGGGGCTGGAGTGTCCTCCAGTCTGGCCCCCCCTTCCAACGGATAGGCTCCGCCCCTTGCCACAGGGCTTGCTGCCATCCCGCCTCCGTCGCCAGAACTATTTTAGCCCCGTCCCCCATAGCGGGCCTCTCTGCTGGTCCCTCTGCCCCCTACAATTTTCCTCCTCTTCTCCTCCCCCACCCTCGAAGTTCACCAGCAGCAGATTACCTTCAGTGCTGCTGTTGCTTTGGAGTCATGAGTTCCCGATCCCCCTTCTGGGTTAGCAGCGGGAAGGAAGGGAGGAGGTGGGATCTGAAGGGGGAGGGGCTGTGGGACACAGAGTGTCATGATGATGTGACTGTTAAAAATAATATAGATGGAAATCACATAGCTAGTTCTAATACACTAAAGCTTACTGCAAACTTACCTAAAACCTGCTCTTGTTTCAGGCATGCTTTCTAGTCAAAGATGATCTTTTTTCTGACTTGAGTCTCTAGCCCTCCTTTTGTGTGTGCTACGTCAGCCAAAGACAAAGGGACCGATAGCTTCCCATTGTTTTTATTGACTTTCCCTGGTTGGAATCTTTTTTTTTCTCTATTCCCTTGTCCCTGGAACATTACCTGGTCAAACTGGTATCCCTGTACTAGGTGGCATGGTTACATGTCATCTTAGGACCAACCGTTGCTTAAACTTAAAGGACAAACAGGGCTGTTCTCAAGTTAAGTTGATCACTCAGTCATTAAGGCTTCCATAGAACCATTGATGGCTCTCATTTGCACATTTAAAACCATGAACAGTTTTATAATTCATATTTCTAACTTTACATACACAAATGATACATGCACCAAAATAAGATATACAGATCCAGCAGATTATAACATGAAAATTGATAGGCTGCATGAGGTATTTTGTCCAAAGCATCTTGAGTTATGCATACCGTAAAGTCGCGAGTATAGTGCACACTTTTTTTCCTGTTTTTTTAACATCAAAGTTAGGGTTCACGTTATCCATAGGAGTTTTTTTTTTTAAGTTTTCATTTGGTGGTTCCGTGGCACTTAATTAATCGCTGGACACCAGAGGTTAAGTTCATTTTTATTAGCATCGACAAGCAACTATATTCACAGTTTCAAAAAGGTAAGTTAAAGAAATGAAATCAACACTGCAGCGCAAACAAGCAAATACCGTGTTAATTGATCTTCTACTCATCTTCGAAGCCCTCAAATTCACATATGTTAGAATCTTCCTTGAACAGATGAGCAGTATCTTCAAGGGTATAGCCCTTGACATCTTCATCCAGGTAATACAAATCATTGTCATCTTCGCATACCGGTAATTCGCCCTCGGACGATTCATCGTCTCTCGGATCCATCCACAGGGCATCATCCTCGCTGCCAACCATAGCATTAAGATGCTGCATTTCAGAAACCCCTTCCTTATGATAACGGGTTCAAGTTCAACCCAGACATCCGCTATCCACTGGGTAACATCTTGCAGTGTCGGTGTTTGCATATGTCCACCTGCAGAAAATGTATGTTTACCTTCCAACAACCAGGTGTTCCATTTCCTGCGTAGTGCGTCTTTCATTGGCTTGTTAACTGTCACGTCAAGCAGCTGCAACATTTTGGTCATTCCACCAGGAATAATTGCCAAGTCTGTTTTGTCCTGCGGAAGCCTTTTCTTGATGGATGGCATACGATGACACCGAAATGCATCCAAAACTATTAGAGACCGCTTTCTCATAAGTCCACCTGGCCACTTCGCCCAAACCATCTGTAGCCAATCAAGCCATTAAAGCTTCGTCAATCCAGCCTTTAGGGTGAACACGCACGTGAATGGTGTTTGGGAATATAACATTCTTTGGCATTGTCTTGCTCTTGAACACAATATAAAGAGGCAGCTTCGTTCCGTCGGCCATGCAAGCAAGCATTACAGTAAACCTAGACTTTTCATGGCCTGGGGTAGCAATGGAGATGGTCTTGGTTACCTTTCACTTCAAGCGTTCTATTGTAGGGATTATCGAAATTTAATGGTGTCTGATCTGCGTTACCAATTAATGAAAGGTTGTAGCAGTGCTGCTTGCGTAGTTTTATGATAAACTTTTGGAACTGTAGTACCTTGGTGTCTGAGTCCATGGGTAGCTTCTGTGCGATAGTTGTTCGGCGTCGGACTGATAGGCCGTGGCGATTCATGAACCGATTGCCCCAGCCATGTGAAGCTTTAAACACGGCTGTGTTAGCGCACGTTTTGGCAATGGTCAAAGCCTTCATTCTAACCTCCGCAATGCTAACGCCACTGCCTTGCTGTCTACGCTCAGCAATCCATTCAGCCAGCTTAGCCTCCAACTCAGGATATGCAGCACTTTTACCTCACTCGGCCATCTTCATCTGAGGCAGCACTTGCAGGCGCTCTTTCTGCCGTCTCCAAAGCCGAATGTTAGACTCTGCTATGCCATCAAATTCATGGCTGGCAGCTCTCTTGCCATGAGCCTCAGCATAGCTAACAACTTTAACTTTTTCAGCAGTCGTGTAAGATCACCGACAACTCATGGCATCCCAAAGAGAGCATGGAAATGCTGCGTACTGTATATTCATGCGCTCACGCATGATTATCCGGTAATACAAAAAGGCAAGACAAAATACGGCAAAGTCGGGGTGCACATTATAGATAGGAGTTCAGTTTATGCCGGAATTCTCATGTTTAAAAGGTAGGTGCGCATTATGCATAGGTGCACATTTTAGTCAGGATTTTACGGTATTTATGTTCATAAACCACTTTCATAAAGCATCGTGGGGGGAGCTTGTCACAACTGCATAGAGTAAACCTGCCTTGTCTTGAGAGATGCAATCAAACAGAGGCTTCTCCAGGCTTTGCCAAGATCTGTGCAGTTCCATGTGCCATGTTATGGAAATTATTTAGTGAATTAAAATGTATATTTGTAATTCACTATTCTATACCCATGCGTTGGCTGTAAAAAATCGTAAATATAGTGCTTTTGTAGCTCTGGTAAATGAAGCCCTCAATTTGTCTTTAGGCCAACTGAAGTGTAAGCTTCTGCCATATAATGCCAATCTGAGAAGAGTATTTTTTGGCCAAGCAAATGGAGACTGTTGGACTGGAGACTTGGATTCTGTTCTCATCTCTGCCTTCAGTGACCTTTTTCAAGTTATAGAAATGTAGCCGTGCTAGTCTGGTATAGCTGAAACAAAAAACAGGACTATGTAGCACTTTAAAGACTAACAAGATGGTTTATTAGGTGATGAGCTTTCGTGGGTCTGAGGAAGTGGGTCTGGCCCACGAAAGCTCATCACCTAATAAACCATCTTGTTAGTCTTTAAAGTGCTACATAGTCCTCTTTTTCAAGTTGTCATTTTTCCTATCTATAAAGCAGGGGAATGCTAGCTACCTCCTCTGAGGTAAAGATATGAGGCCTTGGTTATTAAGGATTGTGAATTGTACAGAAATATTAAGAATAGTCAATTGAAAAGACTATTCATTGTCTCTTAGCTTGTAGTTCAGGGAATCTTCCCCTAGGCTACATGGTACTGCAGGGCAAGTCCCTCTCACATTCATACTTATGAAAGGATTAGGGATGTAAGTGACTAGTCGACTATCCGATAAGCATAAGCCAGTTTCCCCCCCGCACCATCTCCACAGGGGGTAAGGGAGGTATAGGCACAGTGGGAAATTGCTCATGCCGCTTCTGTTAGGATTCTGCTTTTGAAATGTACAAGAGCCCCAGTGGGGCTCTTGACATTTCAAAAGCAGAAGCCTGTCAGGGAGCGCGGGGCCAGCGGGGGACTCTTGTACATTTCAAAGATTCGGGCACCGCAGGGAGTGAGGGCCCAGCGGGATTTCCATCCTCTCTTCAATTCGTCTATAAGGGCACCTCCACCTTTGAGTTCTCTATTTTTTACATTTTTACAGTTCAAAAGTCGAAGCCCTGCAGGAAGCATGGGGCCAGCAGGGGATTGGCCCCATGCTTCCTGTGGTGCCTGAGCCTTTGAAATGTACACGAGCCCCAGTGAGGCTCTTGTACATTTCAAAAGGAAGCCCCACAGGGAGCGCAGGGCCAGCATGGCGCTCCCTGCGGGGCTTCTGCTTTTGAGTCCCACTAGGGCTCTTGTACATTTCAAAGGCTCAGGCTCCCCCGCTGTCCCTGTGCTCTCTGAGGGGCCAGCCCCCAGCATCTCTAAGATTGGCAGTTCATGGCTCCAGCATGTCTGGGCTTACTACATCAGTTATGAATGTTAAAAAAAGCTGCTTCAGCTCCTCTTTCATTACAAATTAAGCACTGAACAAATCCTTTGGATTTAGCCTCCATAACTTCTTTTTATTCAAGGATTATTTTACTGTGATATATGAAGAATCTTTATTTAGATCCAGTAGGGATCCCTCATGCAAAATGTTCATCTGAAAGGAGAACTATAGCAAACATACCTCACTTAATCCCTGTCACTCATATCCTTTCTCCTGTAGCTTGCAATTGAAAGTCTGAGCACTGCTTCTTCTGCAACCTTGTGTTTCAAGAAGCAGTCTCAGATTTATAATACTGTGATAATATGGGAGTAGCGTAAACTGGAGTGAAAGAAGAGTGGGAATTCTCTAGCTGGATCACACAGCAGAACCATCAGGATCGGAGAAAATAACATATAGCTGTGGGGAAGAGATTTGTGAGTGCTGTTAATGTGAGAGAACAGCTGAGAATTGTGTGATATACAGCACAGCTTGAAAAAATGGATGAGATGCTCACTAGCCAGAGAACTAAACCTATTAGTTAGAAAGAGATGTGAAAGATAATGCGGTTACCACATGCCAACAATGTCCAGGAATACTACCCTAGTAAGAAAGTCGAGTCTCCCTTTGGTATTCCTCTGGAGTACCCACCTTTGCAACATCAGGAGTTGCACTGGCAATGTTCTGGGATCCCAAGAGCTGTACCTAATTCCAACAGACATTTACATAAACTTTAAAAGATCCAACTGTAGAACAAATGTACCTTTTCTTAGGCAGATTGAATTAGTTCTGCAGTAACTCTATTCCCCCTCCGCCCCCCAATTCATCAGCAGAGTTCTCACTGCTGTGAGGCTAGCTTTTAGGGCTTAGGCAGTTTTTGGCTTTTCTGATGTGTTCTGGCTATCTTATGAGTGTGCTCAGTATAAGCCTTAGTGATGTGGACCGTGACAACCAGCAGCCATTGTGAAATGTGACCCTAAGTCTGGGGAGTCAGCTTTAACTCTGGCTGATGTTAATAGAGCTGTGACAGCTTACTGTAGGGGAGAATTTAGCCCTGACTGTTTAAAAACTATAACATTTGCCTTACTATAAGTAAGTGCAGCGAGAATTACTTTTGAAAAGGAATGTGTGACTATGAAATGTGTTACCATATGGTTCTCAAGCAAACAATTATTTTCAATCTTAGTCCAGTCTATTTTTTCTCCCAAATATAACTGTTCATTCTAATGCTGAAGCTCAGTTTGTACACTAAATATGTTGTTCTTTCAGATAACTTGCCCTGGCGTGCTGCTGAAAGACAAAAATGAACTCTATATCGGTGCCTGTATATTTGGTCAATACAAGAAGACTCAGCGTGTCCCTGCAGCATTTCCACTCTTCTTAGATGAGAAACTAGTATTTGAAAAGGTAAGATCATCACATCTGACATGAGCATTAAAAAACAAAGTACCAGAATCCCCAGACATAAATGATCACACTGAAAATGGTATTTTATTAGTACTAATTACTGCATCTCTTCAACACTAATGACATTTGTTTCTTCCTTACAGATATAGTAAACTTGTGAGCCTATGGCCATAATATATCATGAAGATTTTTTGTTTTTTGTCTTATGATTTGACCTTTTCTCAATAGCTGTTCAATAGTTCCTGCCCAGTGTTATGCTTCTTAAATGTAGGTAAAAATGGAAAATAAAAGTAGAGAGAATGAAAATCAAAAGATTGTTTTTGTAATCTATGTGTAGCAAAACAAATGGAATATGAACTTGGGCTTTCTGATGACAGCTCTCTCCCTATGCGCTGTTCTTTCAGAGTTTGATGTTGCAAGAGCCCCCTTGATGGTACTATAGCCTTGTAATTTACTGTTGCCTATCACCACTTCTGTGTTCCTACTAGTTTCGTTGTGAGTGCCATAGGAGTAATGAAATCCTATACCTTACAAACACAATTCCATTTTTGACTGCTCATGAATAACAATGCTTTGCACGTCTCTAGTGCTTTTCATCCAAGTATCCCAAAGCACTTTCAAAGACTGACTAAGCGTCAACAACAACTTTGTGAGGTAGGCAAGGCATGGAAAGGGATAATTTCACCCACCACTGATAGGCAGGTGGGAATGGAATATAGCAGCTATTTAACAGTGCACAGCCGGACTGTAGAACAACTTAGGACAGGAAGTGCTGATTACTGTATCCAACTGAAACTGAGGGAGACATCTCGATGTATTTATCAAGTGCAATTTCTGAAGTAGAAATTTAGCCAGAGCACTGGGAATAACATCCATGCTCTAACAAATAGCATCACTTAATAGCTGGAAGTATATAGGTTCTCTATTTTTACATAATCCTCAAAAGTTTGGTACCTCCCACAGTAGGATGCCCCTCAACATCATGCTGAGACAGAGTCTCAGTACTGAATGAGGGAAGAGTGCCAGTGACTGAACCTGCAGCACCACTGTCGGCAGCAAAAATTGCTATATTCCCTCTAATTAGGTGGAGCATTTTTTAAAAAGTGTCATTGAAAGATTTTGTAAGGTTACAGTACATATTTTGAAGCTGAAAATGTATCACTAGAGTACAATTCTGCTATACTTTGCAACTGTTAAAGTGCAGAAGAACATTGCCATTGAAGTATAACTTATTAATCTATTTTCCCCTAGAAATTATAACAACAAACTAAGCACTGTTTTTTCAGGACCTACAAAAATGTAAAGAGCAGCCCTTTCTGGCTTTACAGCAGCAGTTAGTAAATGAACAGGATTCCCAGAGTGGTGCTGACATGATCAGTAACAGTTGTGCACAATCAAGAAAGTAATGGAAGTGTGCCACATTATTTTCAGTTCACTTACAAGTGTCAGAAGAATGATCAACATTATACAAATGGAAAGAAGGGAAAGCAAAAGGGAGAAGAATTATGTTTTCAAATATTGAAGACAGTTGTGCGCTCGCTCAAGTGTGGAAACTCCAATAATGGAAAAAGTTGCTGACATTGTCCCTTTAATCTTGTTCAGCTGAAGTTGAAAGATGAACTTTTGTAACAAGATCAGCTGTTGTTCTTGTAAATTGTTGAAGTCTGTGCAGATGCACTTACCTGATCATGTGATTGACTCTTTATTTATGGTAGGTCACATAATTTAGATAGAGAGGAAGAATCTTGAAAATGTTAGAAATCAGATGACCAAAAGTGCTGTCTTTCTAAGAAATAGATTTTCTGTCTCAATGCCAGTAATAATTTCAGTTTTCTGTTCTTTTTTTTCCCGTATGGGGAGTAGTACTGTTTGCACTAATCAGAATCGCATGCAAACTTTAGTTTTCTCTAAGCATATCTGTTGTTTTTGATCAACTGTGTCCATTACATTTTTTTTTAATCTTTTGTTTTAGGTATTTACTGATGTAGTTGATCCTGGAGAACTTGTTGAACTACTTGAATGTAGGTTTTGCTTTTCTTATCCATTATATTGTATGCACTTAAGGCTAGATCCTCAAAAAGAGAGCTTGTCTCAGCATTGTGATGTCTAATATGCAGGTCAGCAAAATTCATGGCTCCAAGTTTGGTGCTTAGACTCTGTATGCAACGTATTGGGGAATTAAGACCCTTAAAAATAGTCAACGGGGCAAAATAAAGAGAGAGAAACTCGGTCACATAGTGGTTAGTGCTCTTACTGGGAGACTCTGTTCAGTTACTTCTTCAAGGAATATTTAAGTATTACAGGGTTTATCTGGTGCTGCTGAGGTCCTAAACTGAAATAATTTTTGTTTTTCTTCATTTAGATCATTTCTTGGGGGGGGAGGACAGGGGGACGGGACGGATTGGGGATGAGGACATCAGGCTGCCCCAGGGAGAGAGGACAACTCCAGTCCTCTCTCACTGCAGCTTGGATCCAGGTGTGAAGCGTCTCTCCATGGCCACTGTAGCTCCAGTGGACACAGCTGGGGGAAGGGTGCATATCCCCTAGGTGAGGTATGGACACACACACAGATGGACAAACTCTCTCAAATGTATAGAAAGCTGCCCTTTTCTCCACCCCTACTCTTTGCTGCCCCAGTGAGTTATAGGTGTCCTGGTCCCCATCGCTGCCCCCTGTGCTCATTCTATAGTATAACTATCTCTGCTAGCAGACTCCTTCCTTTCCATTTTGTGAGAAACAATTGAATTCCAGGCACATCCCATTGTCCTGGCACAACCAAACCCTGACCTGGCTTTAAGTTAGGATAAGAGGAAGCTACCTACCAAATTAGGTGGTCCTAGCTCTTACCACCAAACAAATGAGTTCTTAAATACATTCACAGCCAGATGGGGGGACAGACAAATGCACATATTCTCTCAAATATATAGTAGAGTTCATACACAGTAGAAAAGCTTTAACAAAAGAGATTGAGAGCCCTACCACAGAACACATTAGAGCATAGTGGTTAGGGTACTCATCTCAGAGGGGAGAGACATGGCTGAAAACACTGCTGTGACCAGTAAAATAGAGATTGAAGCTTGGGTCTTCTACGTCCTGAGTGATTGCCCTGACCATTGAGCAAAGGGAGGCACTTCTGCTGCCTCTTCTTTGGCTGCCATATAGGCTGGGAAGGCAGCCTCTGAGCACGCCTACTGTATCAGGCCCCATGGACGAGACAGATGGAGAGGACTCTGTATTTGTGAATACCTGCTGGGCATATGCCTGGGCTAGGTTCTGAACTACTCAGCGATATCAGGACTTAGCAGTTTTGGTCATGCCCACAAACACAAATGTAGATGCTTAAGGGACTTTGCCAGTGCAAACATAAGGTTCTGGGTAATTTAGTTTCCCATGGGATTATGTGGCCACTGAGCAGGGGTTTAGAGGATCTAAAGTTGGAACGTTAGATGTCTAAAGTGGCATTTAGGCATCCGATTCCCTTTGTGGTTCTAGCTGTTGGTGGCTAAAATCATATTAATAATATGGAATCTAAAGATGTTTTTGAATGTTGAGGCATTATGTTGGGAACAGGAAAGCATTCTTACTATATCTTTGAAACGTTAGTGGTTGAACAATGATCAGTACTCTATCTGTTACAAACTTGTGACCATTACATGAAATAGTCTTTGCTCAATGTGTGATCTTTCAAATGTGACCCTGAGTGTTTTAGAGGATGCATTGGTTTCTTTTGACAATAATAACTTACCAGGAATACAGATCAATAAAAGGCCACTTCCAGAAATATATAAATACTACATTTCTTCAAGTATATTCAAGAGACTGAAATTCAGAACAGTTAAAAACATAGCTGGTTCAAAGACTTCATGAACTCAACAAACTGACCACCTGTAGCAAGCTGTGTTCAAGTACTTTGAACTTCACTGAGTGTTTTACCTTGTCAAATGATGTTGATTTTTTAAAACAGAGTGACTTCACAGTGAACAATGATGTAATACTTTGAGCATGACACGTCATGTTAAAATAGTATTGTGCCTAAACCCAAACTCCAAATATAGGTTTTCTCAAACATTGAGAGAATTATAGTCCAAAACGGGATCCACAGTTCCCGTCTTCTTTCTAGTCTCTTCGAAGAATTGCACCCATCTGCTGCCAAACTTGACAGTGTCGGTTATAAACTTTAGCCAATAACTTATTATTTGCATTATGGTAATGCCTAAGGGCTCCCTTGTGTTAGCCTAGATTTGTAGTATTCATATAAAGTGTTCATAATCTGTTCTTATTGATACATCAAAATTGTCCTTATTACATTAGCTCATACAATGCTGAGATGGTTAAACCAGTGAATGGCTTCTCTTCTATTTTACATATTAAAATGACTTCTGATTATAGTTTATTTTTTGACTTATGAAAAAACTTTTTTTTCCTTTCTAGTTGACACAGCAGTACTTGAACTAATACAACTTGTTCCTCCAGGTATTGTATCAATCTCTTCATAAATTATGCAGTTTAATAGGTGAATTTCCATGAGGACGTACAATCATTTTTCTCAATGTACAAACCATGTCAAAAGCTCTTCAGCAAATAGTCCTCTTAATGTAAAATGCTAATTGATCAAGAGGATCTCATTTTTGAAAAAGAATAAAGCTAAATATTGAAATGTTCCAGTCTCAAGCTTACAAAAGAGATAATACTTTAAAAATTGAAAATAAACCAAAATCACTTAATGCACATTTATAAAAGGCATCAACATTCACTTGTGGTAGGCCTTTCTGTAAGGTTTCAAAGTGCATAATTTTGTTCTCAAAATGACACTTTTATTTTAATGGTGACCGCTGGGAAAATCCTTATCCATGCTATAAATATTACAGGTCTCTGGGGAAAGGTGAAGATAATAAATAATGATTTGTCCTACTTCTGTTATAGGTTTGTGTGATTATAAAACATCTATCTTAATGAAATTCAAATGTTCCCATGGATAACATAAATCTGCATTTTATTGGAACTGCAATAGAATTTGAAGGAAGACTTGTTTGAGAACCCTGGAATTAAAAGCATCCATAGTTACAGATCCTTAATAAAACCACAGCAAGCAAGAACATATTTGTTTCTGTTGGTGGCTCACTGAGATATTTATGCCAACAAACAAACTGAGTGTGGATTTAATTGTTGTGGAAGCATAGGAGATATTAGGAGGAGAGTTGTAATTTGAGGGGCTCTAAGATAGGTTATTATGGACATTTGGCAAAATGACTGTGATAGAACAATTTGAAAGTTTCATATAATCTATCTTGTGGTTTTTTTTCCTTGAAGAAAATAGAACAAGATTTCATGATCTTGAAATACTTTTGCTTGTATCTAAATTCCTTTCTGACAGCCAGATACATCTCTGATAAATAACCATAATTGTTTTGTAATACGGAATAACAGATGTGAAGTTGGCTGCTGTTAGAAAACCATTGTCTGTACATAGGAGGGGAAGAAGGAAAGAAATTGAAGAAATGTTATAGGAAAATCTTTCATAAGTCTCTTAGTACAACAAAGGCAGTCTACTTTATATAAATTAGATACAGTATTCAGTAAAAGGTGCTTAAGAGCCTGATCCTGCGGATTCTTACTACTTGGCTTAGTCCCATTTTAGTCAGTGGTCGTGTAATAAGAGTTTACTCTTAATTTTTAAAGGTTAAAAAGTTATACTGGTTTCAGCATAGTCTTGTGCATGTGTGCCTACACTGTACACCTCTTTCCCAATAAATTAAGTACATATTTTCTTTATAGTGGGAGAAATTCTAGCCACTTATGAAGAAACTACAAGAGTTTTTCTGTTCCCTGACCCTAAGCTTACTCGTGGGCACCATGGTTCAGATCGTGAAGTTTTAATGAAGAGGTCTGCTAGTTTTACAGTAAGTGCATATCTGTGTATTGTGCTTATGATACGGTATGTTTCACAGGAACAGCTCTGTGAACTACCTCCAGCCAAAAGTGATTACTTTTGACAGATAATTCAATACCTGAAATGGCAAGTACTAATCCCAGGCTGAACTTTGTGAAGATAGAATCTGTCTGCTGGAAATGTTATTTTTAACTCGATGTGCAAACTGTACGTGTATAATGTGAACATGTTAGTATCTAGATTGGTTTGCTATGTAGTACCATAGCTTGTTATACGTTCTTTTCATCCATCCAGTGGGTGGGAAGCTAGATTTAGTACCAGCAAGAACCATCAAATTGTACAGTAGTAAAATTACAAAACAGGACAATCTTATTTGTCTAGCTCTCTTCCTCACATCTTCTTTTTGTTGCATTTTGTCTCAAGTTACCTCAGATCCTCTGGGTCAAGGTATGGTGATCCATCTGTTTGTACAACACTGGGCATAGTGGTACTCGAGCACTCATTGGGGCTTGAAGGATCTCACTCACAAAGAATAAATAATCATCATAACTTGTATTTCATCTTGATTTAGACCAGGGCCACTCAACACGTGGCCTGTGGGTAGGATCCTTTGAACATGGCCTCCACAGGGAACACGCTTCACAATTGCGAGGCGTCTCCCAGGCGGGGTGAGCACTGAAAGACACAAGTGGACGGGCTGGCTGGAGCAGACGAGTACAGGGAGTCGGCGTTTCTAGTCCCCAGGGAGGAAGTGCCAGGAGTGCTGGGGCATTGTGTGAAAGAAGCTATTTGCATATATTTGCATATACATTTGCATGTATATGCAACCACACTTACGTTGCAGCCCTCTTCATGTGCTGTGAGTATCATAGTGGCCCCTGGGGCTTCCAAATTTGAATAGCCCTGATTTAGACACTGTTATAGCTTGGTTTTCTCTTCTAGAACTTGTTTGTCAAGGTCTCTTCAGCCTCCATTCACGCTGACTGGCCAAGCCATTTTAGAAATTAGCCACATTTACCAGCCATACAAAAGCCATAATAGCCAATGGGTGAGTGGCACAGGGAATAGAATGAATTAGCATTAATTGTTTGTAGCAGCGAGCTCAAATGTGCACAAAATGAAAATAAGATTGGTCTCAGCAGGCCCCATGGTATGTGTTTAAAGCTGATGATTCTCAGAAGGGAATGGGATAGTCCTGAAAGCAACTTTAAAAGAAATACCTTTGGGAACTGTGCTTTTGCTTAATTTGATATAATTGCATCATTAAAGTGACAAAACACTGCGATTGAGATGATTTGGGACTCAATTGTTCTGTTCCTACTAGATTTTTTTAAAATTGATGATTAAAGGTCAAAAATGGCTTGCAGCTGGTACACTGTGCCCCATAAAGACAACCTGAAAATCATCCTGCTAAAAATAGAGGTGCTAATTTGATGGTCAGAGGCAGCATACTTCATCTGAATGACTTGAGTCACAGAGAGGGGGTTATGATGATGGGTTGTATTAAAATGAACTTTGTTTAAATGAACATCTAGTTGGGTGAGTTGGAATCCAAATAGGTGTGTTTAAGTGATTCTTCTAGTACCACAAAATTGTACCATCATGTGATGTACTTGGAAGCCTGTTTATAACCAATCCAGATCTGAATCAGGAGTGTTTTTATGCCACCTTGCAATACAGAGATGTACTTTGTTTTAGAAGATTCCACAATAACTGCTTTGCACACATCTTTTTGTTAACATCCTGTCTGCAAGTTATCGAGTATTATTTAGTCTGATGCTACATACACTACAAAAGCAAATTGCACTGCATTAGGTCAACTTCTATTATTATTAGGAAGATTTTTTTCCCAAATGAAAATTATAGTCCTATCACACATTGCTGTAAGACTTAAGGAAAATAGATGGTTGAGTAGTATTAAATAGAAAGTTTATTAGAAAAAATGTTTTAAAATTAAAAGCTGGAACTCTTCAGTTCTGATGCACATCTCTGAAATTTCTTAATGGTAAATCAAATGTATTTGTATTCATTTTGAAAGGCTTTCTCTTTGAGATACTTAAAATACAACAGTGGTCCTATGACCAGATAGTTGGCTCTGTGCAACAGTCGTTATAATGAACCATGGTAATTCTGCTGTGAGTTAGAGCCTTTCATTCTTGTTGAGGAGTTGAGCAGAGCCAGATGGAGCATCAGCAGCTGGGTAATGAAGCTATAGTAGCCCTAGAATGACTGGAATGATGGAATGGAGAGAAAGGTGCTCCAGTCTTTCTCACTTCCAGGAGAGTACATGGAGCAGTTTAGATGGTGAAATCCCTTACTGCAGAAGCATGTGTAATATATCAGGTTGTCTGGGACACCACTGTGAGGGTCAAATCAGGGCGAACTGCTTCGAACAGGGCTATTTACAGCCCAAGACTGGAGTCCTCCTCATAAAGCACCAAACCAGTCACAGACAGCACTCCAGCTGCCACCCTACCCAGCAAGAAGTCTCATAAGCCATCCCCTTAGACACTCCATCTTTACCTGCGCCACAATCAGCACCACACTTTTACACAGGTGAGAGGTTACGAAAACCCATCTCACCAACTCCAAACCGGTTCTCCCAGTCCCAAAGGACCAGCCACAGTCCCAGGTCAGTTTATACCTCATCTTATCCTAAAGAGCATGCTGTGTCATCCCTTTAGAATCTAATGGTTTATTAATAAAATGAAAGAAAAGGTTGAGAGTAGGGGCATGTCTAAACTACATCCCTCTTTCAAAAGAGGGATGTAAACTAGACAGATCAAAATTGCAAATGAAGCCGGGATTTGAATTTCCCATGCTTCATTTGCATAATGGCGACCGCATGTTCTTTTGAAAATGGGCATTTCGAAAGTGAACCGCTGTTTACATGCGGTTCTTTTGGGGGAAAAAAACACCCTTTTTCAAAAGATCCTGTACTCAAAAAATGAGGTTTACAGGATCTTTTGAAAAATGTTTTTTTTTTTTTTTGAAAGAACCGCATTTAGACAGCAGTTTCACTTTCAAAATGCCTGTTTTTGAAAACACACAGCCGCCATTATGCAAAAGAAATGCGGGAAATTCAAATCCCGGCTTCATTTGCAATTTCGATCTGCCTAATTTATATCCCTCTTTCGAAAGAGGGATGTAGTTTAAACATAGCCTACGATTGTTAAAGAATGCACATTGCTTACATCAATCACCAAGGTCTTGATGCAGGCTCTTAGAACAGATGTAACAGATTCTAGCTTATAAGTCTCTTGTGTACATCCTATGTTAGGATGGGTCAACAAAGTCTTTCCGGCCCTCCGTCCATAGCAAGGATGCTTGTGGAGTCAAGAGGAGGATTGAAGACAAAGATGAAGGTTCCCTCAGGCTCCTTTTATAATCGTACCCATGCAGAGGGAAATCCATTGTTCTCCTGAGTGATGGTACCTCCCAAAATGGAACTGATCACATGATCAACTCACCTTCCCAAGTCCTTTAGGCAAGCAGCCATAGGATAACTGCTGGTCTGCAGGTTTGCAGATGCATTCCTCAGGTGTTTATTGGCAACCTTAAGAGCCATTGTCCGGGCACCATCGCTATTCAGCACAGCTATCCTCTGAATAACCACTCCTCAAAATAGGTGGTCGACGCCTATTGCTATCTCCAGGTATGTCTACATTACAGTGCTATTTCGAATGAACTTAATTCAAAATAGTTAATTCGAAGTAAGCTAATTCAAAATAATGCTTCTATACACAAAAACTATTTTGAAATAGCGCTTTGCTATTTCGAAATAGGGTCCACTCAGTGTGGACATGCTGAACGGAAGTTAAGGCTGGCCAGAACCAGTGCGGGCAGGGCATCAGGTTAAGACTTAGTGTATGGGGCTGCTGCCTGAGGCTAACTGAACTCCGTGCTTAAAGGGACCCTACCCCCATCCTGCACAGACAGTTCTCAGGGTTCCCCGCTTGCTTGTCTACCTCAATGAGGGACAGCAAAGCAGTCCTGTCTTGGAGTGCCCTGGGTGCTCCAACTCAGGACACCACAGTACTCGGCCACATGAAGCCAGAGCTGCCCCTGGACATTCTGGTGGGTCTCATGGGGTTGTTGCCATCAGCCTGGCTGCACTTGCTGTAGGCTGCCATCCGGGGGTTTCCTGATGTCAAATAAAAAGCAAGGAATGTTCAAAAATAGAAACTGGGTTTATTGAACAAAACTGGGGGAGGGGGGGAAGGATGAACCTCTGGGGAGACTGGGAAAAGGAGGTGAGAGAGGGGAAGAGAGAGGGTGGGAGAGGGGTGGGGGAAACCTGGGAGGAGGGAGCTGGAATGGGGAAGCAAGCGGAAGAAGGGGGAGGGGAAGCTCAAGGTTCAGGGTTGTGGGTCTTGCCAGACCAACTTGACTTTCATGCAAACCTGCTCCTGGGTTCGCATGTGGCCTTTGGTGGCCAGGCTGGCAGCTATCCTGCCATAGACAGCCGCGTTCCTCCATATAGTGCGGGGATCATGGACGTTGGGGGCACCCCCCCAAACCTGAATAAGGGCCACGATCTCCACCCTGGATCAGGAAGGCGCCCGCCTTCTCCAGCCCCTGGAAGGCTCCTGGGAGCTGGCAGACTGCTCCTGGGGAGCGGTGGAGGGCTGGCTGCCAGTGGCTTGCTGACTCCTGTTTTGGGGCCACTAGGTGTGGGGCCCCAGTGGCCACTGCTGGCTCTGGGCTGGCAGGCTTGGAGCTGGCACAGGCACTGTGGCCAGAATCTACCCCCTTTAAGGCTCCCGGGGGGGGGAGTAGGTTTTCCTGGTTGTGCCCAGAGTGGCCACCAGCGCTTCCTGGGAAGGGCTGGAGGCCCCCTATTTCGAATTAAGTGTCTACACAGCCCTTAATTCAAAATAGCTATTTCAAATTTGGTGTTACTCATAGAATGAGGTTTACCAAATTCGAAATAAGGGCTCCACTATTTCAAATTTATTTCGAAATAGTGGTTTGCCTGCGTAGACGCTATTAAAGTTAATTCGAAATAACTGCTGTTATTTCGAATTAACTTTGTAGTATAGACATACCCTCCCAGACACAAAACATTTAAAATATAAGTACAGAGCCCAAATTCATAACTTTACATGTAAAAGTCGTACAAGTATATGAGTAGCATACATAGAACCAGCAGAGCATAAGCTTTCATTAGACACCTCACTTGGCCCACTTTGCAGAGAATTTGGGGCAAACACAGAATAGCGTGTTCAATAATGATCTGCAGTTTCCTGATATAACCCAATAATGTGACAGCATGCATGCCTCCTTCCTCCCGGAAACATGGAGGGAAGTAGTGGGTAATGATGATACTCCAAGAAGAACCTAAATAATTCATAGTGGGGAGAGGGGTATGGAATGGAAGATTTGATGGCTTGGGCAGCCATGAGGGAGAAAACTCTCCCTTTCAGACTCAGAGGGAAGAGTTTCACATGTTCCTTCCTAGAGCCCCCGATCATGCCAGCTGTCTCTTGTTGGGTGGATCTCCTCCTTGTTTCTGAAATGCTTCAGATACCTTAGTTTTGGAATGATAGATGCTTCTGCCCTGCCCCTCTTGGGTGAAGGTTGTTCCCAATGTTACACCAGTAAGATATACTTGCTGTCCCTGGAGGCCCCAAACAGTGGATTTTCATTTTATTTCTAATGGTAAAACATTTAATACAGATTTTGAGAATCAAAACCATTCCCCTTATTTCCGCACTAGTCAGTGGAGTTTTTCCCAGAAGAAATGTTATAACTAGTTGCAGTAACAAATATGTTTGACTGACAGCTTTGCTACATGAGTGCTTTGACGCACATTAACTTTTTCTTTTGTTAACACAAAAGGTAGCGAAAGCAAGGTTACTATTCTAGACTCCAGCTAGGCAGTGACAAGCCATGTTTGTTTAGCACTGCTAATCTGTCTGTTGGAAAGAATCCCGAGATTAGGATATCAGAACCCCTCCTGAAAACTGGCACTTGGCTGATAATGTCTCCAGCAAAATGTCTTACCAGGCTCACAAAACTTACTAAAATACAAGACATTCCGGGAGTTCTCCCTGAGAACAATTTTATTTCTTTTTTTCCCCGGGCTGGTGATGTCCTGCTGATGCTTTTGCTGACTCTTCTGCATTTCTGTGCAGACCTCTAAGGACTTGATTAACCTGCTCTGATTGTGACTGCTTATATAATGTACTGTCTTCTCCCTCTGTGCAATATTTGCAGCATCACTTAAATGACCTTTCCCCCCTCCAGTATCTTTAATTACAGTTTCAACCAGCGCACTGTTGATTTTTTGTTGTTGTTTTTAACAGAGTGCTTTTTCTCTTAGCACTAACAATTGCAAGCCGGTCATCTACTTCCAAAGTTAGGGATGTAAGCAGCTAGTCAATTTTATGCTTATCGGATAGTTGACTAATCCCTCAACTAGTTGCTCCTCCCCCCACCTTACTGCCTCTGTGAGAGAAGGAGCAGGAGCCGGTGCTGGCAGGAGCTGTCTTAGTAGCCAGTTCCCCTGAGCACCATCTCCACGGAGGGAAGGGGAGGGAGGGAGGTAGCGAGGACTGGGCACGAGCTGATTCCTAGCTCACGTCCAGTCCCAGATGTTGTGCCTCTTCTTTTAAAATGTATTCAGAGCCTGCTGCAGCTCCCCTGCTTATTGACTAGTCAATGGAAATTTCATCGATTAGTCAATCAGTTGATTAAACTAAATTTAACATCCCTATCCAAAGTCCTTTGTAAGTATTAACTCGCTCTATAGCATTCCTGTGATCCAGTTGATGTTGGACCCATTTGACTGCTGGGTAAACAGGAGGCACAGAGAGGCTAAGCAATTTGCCCAAGAATACCTGCACCCACAAGCCCCTGGCAGAGTAGCGAGTAGAACAAAGGAGTTGATGCCCTTTTTCCTCTCTTGCTGTTAGTCTGGGTGTTTCTATGGCTCCCATTACTATAATACCAAAGCGCTAGTCCAAACATGCTCTCACATAACTGTTTTTCTGTTGAACACATTTCTAAAGTTGGTCTCTTTAAGAACAAGAGGTACTCTCCTGAGGCTTTTCATAGCAGATACATTAATTCTAATTTTCTCCTTTTTAGACTATTAATGACAGTTGATAATTCATGTAGATAATAAATATGAGTGCTGATTAAAGAAGGTCAGCTTTAAAATGTGTTTATACCCTGCGGTTTGACTTTTTCATTTCTGCTCTTGCACTTCTGATTTAATACTTTAGCATGGGGCCAGATCACGCCATCTCCTGAGTGGTGGAGAAATCAATGGTGTAGGCATGGGGGAAGGAGAGGTCTCTCTTATGGAGTTCTCCCAAAATTCTTAGGGTGACAGAAACAGGGTTCACAATGGAAGAAGACTTCCTTAAAATATCTGATGATCTTAGAGGTCTGCTGGAGACATGAGAGGTGCTGATGCAGAGGTCTTTCACTTCCATACTGAATTCAAAGCCCCTCTGTCTTTCCATGATAGACACCTTCTCTTCATGTGTGGCAGCATCCAGAATCACCAGGCTCTAGCAGCTCTCTTGCAGAATGTCCAAGCCCTCACCTTCCTGTCTCACAACCCATTTCTGTGTTCAGATACTTAGACACCGGTATCCTCTCCGGGTCTGGGGACCTGGACCTGTATAGACCTGTGGTGCTTGGAGGGGGTCAAGGGATGAGGTTCTGTAGGGACAGCTGATGCCTAGCTCTCTTCTGCACAGCTGAGAAAGATGTGTGTAGATGGGTCCCTCTGTCCATTGATCTACAGAGCATGGCATAGCCATGTTACTCAGGAACCGTTAAGCACGAGACTATCTGTTTAACTGACCCTCAGTTGTCAGTTAACTGCCGTGGCTGGACCAGGGCCAATCGGTGGGGCGGGGCAGGAGAGCCACTTGGCCTGGGCGGGGCTCCTATTTAGACACTTGTTAGCATTTGTTAAGTTTAGCAACTTGTTTTTAAGCATGTCCCTAGCATGGTATGACTCTTCATTCTCTACGCATTTTTCTGACTTTATACACAATCAGTGAATACCAAAAATTCACATATAAATAAATAGAAAAACTAGAGAATAATAAATAGAAATCACAAGCAAAATTATATTTATAAACAAGTTTGCAAAGTCCAGTAGGAATGAAACTTGCAAATCATTATTTGAATCTTTACTGATGCTGTAACATGACATGAAAAATCTTTAAAACTGCTTTTGACAAAGAAATATATTGAAATAAAAGTCAGACCTTAATTGTTGTACAAAAGCAATATAATCATCTGTAATTGAATTGTCAGAAATGCAAATGTTATCTTCTTGACATTTACCATTGCTGTTCTGTCTTTTCTAATTATCTTTATTAAAGGCTGAAATTAACAAAGGAAGTGGTTTAAAATTAGGAATGGTTTGTTACATTAGGTGGCATTTATTTCTTTGATACCCTTTATCTTTAGTAGGAGCTTGATGTTCAATTATTGTCTCTCTTCTAGGGAATTGCACCAAAATTGAGATTTTCTACCAGCTCCCTTATTACAGAAAGCCTGTTAAGTTCAGGAAGGACTCATGTACAGGTTAGCATAATTTAACTCTTTGTGATTTAATTTCTTGATTTAAATTGATAACTTTGCTGTCAAATGATTGTGTGTACTACTCCTTAAAACTTTTTTTCATCTTTTTGTTTTGGATAAAACTGTTGTCATAGGTGCTTGACAACTTGATTACATTTTTAATCCAGCGTGAGTAAAGAGAATGCTTGGTGCATAACCCTAGGTACTGAGAGTTCCTCAAATTCAAAACAATTAACCACTGTCTTATCTTGTGTTCAGCTGAGATGTGAGTCCCTTATGTGTGTGGAGTTGGTAAGATGCCTTCTTATCATTATCTAACAGTAGCCTGTTGATGACACATTATTAAAAACAAAACTAACCAATTCATAAAATATAATTGTAAATATCTTGAGAAATTATTTTTGTAATAGAGATGAAGGCTTCATTTTAAAAGATAACCATCAACTTGGCAATCAAATATCTATCTGGAGGTCCTGAAACAATGATGATTAACTCTTCCATTAGTTCATTTAAAATAACTAGAGGAAACCCCCTTTTTTTTTTTTTTTTTTTTTTGACAATTTGTTGACTTTGTGTGTTTGAAAGCATTTTGTGTATAGTCAAGTTTCACTGTTTTGAGCCTCCATTGGGCTTCTTGTCTTATGTACATGTATGATGACATCACTCTTTTCCATGTTGTTCAAAATAGTATTTGTAGTAATAGCAACAGTGAAACTGAAAATGTGCATGTTGTAAGCA